AAAAAAAAAAAAAAAAAAATCCTAACATCTTCATTTCTTATCTTAAACTATAGAAAAGAAAGAAAGTCCGGGAAAGTGAGATAGCCATCATGAGATTAGCCTAAAGAAAGAAAGTCCAGGAAAGTAAGACAATCATCTTAAGCTAGCCTCAGCCTATTCCTCTTGGAAGACCTAAAAGAATAATAAATTATCTGACTTCTGTTGTTAAAGTTAAAGGTTAGGATAAACAGAGGAGTAAAACCTTTCTCTTCTATGTATTCAATTAAATTTCTGAGAAACTGGCTTCATGACGGTTTTCTTATGGCTTTGGAGACCCTGCAGTTACGATGGAGTATTTTATTCAACATCATTAAGATGGAGTTTTTTCTTTTTACTCACATCAACCTTTGAGTCATGTCCTCTGCACAGATGGGCCATTTCAACCCTTATCTGACAGGCTGACTTGACTGCACAGTCGGGGTTCCCTGTGGGAGGTTTTTACGCTTGGCCTGCAGGCCCCCACTGTGTTTTCTCAGGTCGCTTAGGGCCTCAACAAAAGCGCATAATACTCACAAGTCTTTTCGCTCAGTTTCTGGAATTAAAAGAGCACATTTCATTTAATTTTTGTGGAGGTTTACCCCACAGTCTATTACTGAGTTAGATTTTTTTAAACAAGATAAAAAAACATATTTCGTGAAATTTTAAAAAGAAACCATTAAGCAGAGCCAAAGGTAACTATTTTCATTTTAATTAGCATGTAGAAGTATTATGTCCCCACTTCTACCAATGAATCACTTGAAGGTAACATTTCTGCTTATCTCTCCTGAGGTATTTTGATTTGTTTTCCATTAGCTGGCCTGGCTGTCATACGCCAGATGAAGTCAGGGTGCTTTCCTTCAGCTCTTATCTTTAGACCTCCCACACAGACTTCCTAAAGAAATCAATCTTTGTTGGTGAGCTGTGCAATACTGAACTAAGGCAGGGGGGAAATGTTAGCAAATTTATATAGAAACTGAAAAATGCAATTTCTGTGTGTCCACTGGAATAATAGAAGAATCATCAGCAGTAATGATTATGGGTAATTTCCAATGGGTAAAAGGCTAGGCTTTGTACTCTCCCTGAAATCACGTGGATATGTGTGTGGGCACTCATGTTGGAGCCACATACTGCGGAAGCCCTCAAAAACCTGGGAGTAGCTGCCAGGAAAGTGACCACTTACTCACCAGTCACCCTACAAGAACCAGTCTTTTCAATGACAGCTCCAGAAGCCAGGGTGTTGGGATTCCAGCCCCCCAGCACTCTCGAAGGGGTATTGTTGCCTTCATTCATTCTTCCACAAACACTGAGCAGCTACTAGACACAGGCACTGTGCTCTGTGCTGAGGATACAGTGGTGACTAGGAGTCAGACAGTCTGTGCTTCTAGTGAGGTCAGAGTTTAGCGGTGATAAAGATAATTAAACAAGTAATTGCAATAGAGAGTGACAGGAGCTATAAGGAGAGGAGTAAAGAATGCTACTCTAGGCCTCCCAGACAAAGCAACTTCTAAGCTAGTCCAGAAGCACTCATCTGCTCTGGGAGCTCCAGAACTTCTGCCCTGAGGCTTTGAGGAGATGCCCGAGGAGAGGGCTGACCAGTGGATCTGCGCTTCACGCTATAGCCATCCTTCTGGGAACAGGGGTCTTGTGTTCCCAGCACACAATGGACCACTCAAAACACATCTTCTCTCAGGAACAGTAGGGACATACAGTGGTTTGATGCTGTAAATGGCCATTAGGGGGTATCCTGGGACACAGCCTCAGCAACCTGCAAACTCAGTGGGGACCACCAGGGAAAGAGAAGGAATTGGACCAGGTCTCTAGAACTACATGGATGACACAGGCAGTGGTGTTGTGATTGACAACACAGTTTAAGGGTATAAAGCTGTTTTCAATAGCAAAGAATATGGACATTCTTGGAGATGGTCACTCAAGGCAGTAAGTCAGCAGACTGGTTGGCAGAGTATAACTTCTTAGCTCCTTTCTCCGTGACTGCAATGTACCCTCTGGCTACCTGCCAGTCTGCTCACCCAAAGACTAACAACTAATGTAGACAGCTCAGTTATTCCTAGTGTTTACTTTGAGACTGCACACAGGTGAGGTATGTTTACCACGAGCATTTATGTGTAGTCCCAGGTGTTAGGCCTATACATGTCTATTCCTGCAACAATGGAGTTAACAGTAGAAACTGACCCCACAGTGGGGCCCCTGTTCTATTGTAGCATAGCATGGCAGTTGGTTCTTTAATTGAATCCAGCATTAGCATCAAGGGTGCCGTGTGGTGGACAGGGCTGCAGCTACATGCTGCCCAGCAGATGTCTTGTGGAAAATTCTTAGTTCCAACAAATGAAGTCCTAACCAGGAGGTGGGGAGCAGGGAGCAGGATCTAGCCCAGTTAGGTGGGGTTTGCAGAAGCTTCACCTAGGATCAAGGTTCTAGACAAAGCAACTAGGGTTTCAGGCTTACTTACAGGAGAAAAAAATATTTGACACAGGAAACATCTATATCCAAGCACCCTCCTCCATTCTATGTGCCTTTTTATCTTTTAATGGCCTTCTCTTTTCTGAGTGTGTTGGCTCACACATGTGATCCCAGCATTTGGGGAGGCTGAGACAGGAGGATCAATGGAGGCCAGGAATTTGACCTGCCTGGGCAATATAGTGAGACCTCATTGCTATAAAAAAATTGGAAAAAAAATAATCTGGACATGGTGGTGTGTGCTACTGGAGTCCCAGGTACTTGGGAAGCTGAACTGAGAGGATTGCCAAACCCAGGAGTTTAAGGGTACAGTGAGCTATGATCACACCATTCCCCTCCAGGCTGAGCAACAGAGCAAGACCCTGTCTCTAAAACAACAAACAGCAAAAAAATGGCCTCCCCTGAAATTCAGAACATCCCCTTGATCCCTCTACAGAAAAGGTTCTTTTTTTTTTTTTAAGACAGTCGCACTTTGTCACCCTCAGTAGAGTATTGTGGCATCATAACTCACAGCAACCTCAAACTCCTGGGCTCAAGCAACCCTCTTTCCTCTGCTTCCCAGGCACCCACCACATCTGGCTATTTTTAAAGACTGAATCTAGCTCAGGTTGGTCTCGAGCTCCTGAGCTCAGGCAGTACACTTGCCTCAGCCTCCCAGAGTGCTAGGATTACAGGTGTAAGCCACCACACTTGGCCTCTGAAACAATTTTTCTTTTGAGACAGAGTCTCACTTTGTTGCCTTTGGTGGAGTACTGTGACATCATAGCTCATAGGAACCTCAAACTCTTGGGCTCAAGCAATCCTCCCGCCTCAGCCTCCTGAATAGCTGAGACTGCAGGTGCCCGCCACAATGCCCAGCTACTTTTCCTATTTGTTTATTTTTTAGAGACAGGGTCTCGATCCTGCTCAGGCTGGTCTCCAGTGTGTGAGCTCGGGTAATCCACCTGCCTCAGTCTCCCAGAGTGCTGGATTACAGGCATGAGCCACTGAGCCCAGCCTTCTGAAACAGTTCTTAAAGCATCTATGGACCCCTGAGCATCTTCATGACTTGTTCATGCAGTCTTAGAAGTCGAAACAATATTCTTGATAACACAAAGATGTTATCTGCCTTTTTCACTGTGCTGACCTTTGCTCTAAAGGTACAGAAGCAACAGTGAGTACACCAAGCCATACTTAAAATATTTTACAGACCTTTGTAAGTTATTTTATAAATTTTATTATCTTGCAAAAATTCCAGGTTTTCCCAAGAATGTCTTTGATGAACCCCTAGAAAATGTTAATTATATTTAATCTTGACCCTTGCTACACATCTTTTTTAAAATTTTCTGTAACAAAATGCTTAAAGAAATTACATAAAAAGCCAGGGTGGGAGGATTGCTCGAGCTCAGGAATTTGAGGCCAGCCTGAGCAACACTGAGAACCCCCTCTCTACTAAAATTAGAGAAATTGCTAGGTATTGTGGCAGATGCCTGTAGTCCCAGCTACTTGGGAGGCTGAGGCCGGAGGATCTCTTGAACTCAGGAATTTGAGGATTCTGTGGACTAGGCTGATGCCATGGCACTCTAGCCCGAGAGGGAGAGATGCTGTCTCAAAAACAAAAAGAAAGTGCAAGCCTGAACAAGAGCAAGACCTTGTCTCTACAAAAAATGGAAAAATTAGCCAGGCACAGTAGCACATGCCTGTAGTTCAAGCTATTTGAGAGGCTAAGAGGCTTAAGCCCAGTAGTGTGAGGTCTCAATGAGCTATGCTCACACCACTATACTCTGCCAGGCAACAGAGTAAGACCCTGTCTCAAAAAAAAAAAAAAAAAGCAAAACTGTTAAACAATGCTACTCTCTTCTCAGTAATTTTTCTTGTTTTTAAAAATTTATTTGTTGGCTCAGCGCCTATAGCTCAACCGGCTAAGGCGCCAGCCACATACACCTAAGGTGGCGGGTTCGAATCCCCAGCCCAGACCCGCCAAACAACAATGACGGCTGCAACCAAAAAGCCAGGCGTTGTGGCGGGCACCTGTGGTCCCAGCTACTTGGGAGGCTGAGGCAGGAGACTCGCTTGAGCCCAGGAGTTGGAGGTTGCTGTGAGCTGTGATGCCAGAGCACTCTGCCCAGGGGGATAGCTTGAGGCTCTGTCTCCAAAAAAAAAAAAAAAAAATTATTTGTTTTTCATAAATGTGTTAACTTGTGATATGTGTATTTTTAATAAAGAAATATATTTTAAATTTTTTCTCAGTTTTAGTTAGTTAGTTTGTTTGTTTCTTTCTTTTTTTTTTTTTTTTTTTGAGACAGAATCTCACTTTGTCACCCTTGGTAGAATGCCATGGTGTCACAACTCACAGCAACCTCCAACTCTTGGGCTCAAGCAATCCTCTTGCCTCAGCCTCCTGAGTATCTGGGACTGCAGGTGCCTGCCACAATGCCTGACTAATTTTTCTATTTTTGGTAGAGACTGGGTCTCCTGAGCACAGGCTGGTTTTGAACTCCTGAGCTCAGGCAGTTCCCCCTTCTCTGCCTCCCAGAGTGCTAGGATTATAGGCGTGAGCCACTGTGCCTGGCCTCAGTTTTAGTTTCTAACAAAAGTGAAAGTTTGTCAGAGTCTTCAAGCATTTTTAAGAATGTAAAAGTTGGAGAACAATTGCCCATAACACCTGTTGCTGACTGCCTCGCCAAGTGCTTAAAGAATATATCTCAGCAACAACATGAAAGACGGGACTCGGAGTGCTGCTGGGTCAGGCAGAAAGTTTTAGCTGCTGAAGGTGCTCCTGCCCAGGCGTCTCTGATGCTCTGGATGTTTCCTAATTCTGCCTCCTCATCCAAAGATACCCATTCTGCATCCTGAGTCACTATCAAACAGACGACTTCATGTAATAAACTGATTAAATATGAGATAGTTAATTTAATTTGACCAGTATTTATTGAACACCTAGCAGGCATTGTGCTGGAGATGAGGAAGCAGTGACAATTAGACCTGGACTCTGCCCTCTAGGGGATTACAGTACAGTAAGGGACCTGGCTGGATAGAAAACTATTTCTAATGGGCGGTGCCTGTGGCTCAAAGGAGTAGGGTGCCAGTCCCATATACTGGTGGTGGTGGGTTCAAACCCAACCCCGGCAAAAAAAAACTGCAAAAAAAAAAAAAAAGAAGAAGACTATTTCTAACAATGAGAGGGGAAAATAGAAAGTAATATTTGTGCACTTAATGGAGATTTTTAATGCCTTCATATAAAAAAGTGAGTTCATTAGCTTGTAAATAGGAGAAAATAAAAAATATTTTTAAGATGAGTGAATTCTGTGAGATTTTTCATTAGTGAAGGAGACAGTAGGGGTCAGATGTCCCCCATTGGAATCCCTAAGATCACACCAGTTTGTAGGAATTCACTAATGCCCGTCTTCTCTTCTTGAAGGCCAATAAACTTCCAGCAGAGCTAACCAAGAATGAACGTATTTTGCGTCTCCTTCGAAGTAAAGAAGGTCACAGAAAAAGCTAACCGAGTTCCGTACGTGATGGGAAGATGGGAACCTTAACCATGTTGTGCAAAAAGAAGTTGCTTTTTAAAAAGTGTTGGAAATTCGTTTAAGAAAGAAAATGCCCAGAGTGGCCACTCTGTTGGTCCCTGACGAAGAAGAGCTGTGCTCTCTGCTCGGAGTCAAGAGCAGAACAGCTCAGGGACCCCTTCTTCCCATGGGCATCTCACGCCACCCTGTAACTCAACTCCAGGGGGACCTGGCACATTCATGGATTCTACAGAAATCGTGCTAATTTGGGTCTCTCCGTTAAACTCTAAGATGGACAGGGCTCTCAGTACTAAACAAGGAGACAGAAAGCTCTGTTTTTCTAAAACGGAAAGGCTGATCTTCAGTAAGTTGATGCACTTTCGCTTTTGTGTTAAATGTAGGTGTACTTAAATACATAGATCCACCATATTCTACATGTATGTAATGTATGTCCTTCAGTGTAACATTTTTTTCTTCTACCCAAGCCCATAGTCCTGATTATTCAGAATCAATGATGTGTACCATACATTATTAAAAAGCCATCCACACATTCTGTGTGCTATCAAAGAAGGACTGTGGAACTACAGAAAACACAAAGGGCACATTGACCAGTTGGTCCTCATCTTATTTCTGACATGTAAATCATTTTCACTTAGACTCAACATTGCAGCTATGTTGGGAGATCAATGGAGTATTTGAAAATTCCGAAAATTACAAACCACAAGAAATTTAGGCTTGTCTCATGGATCTTTTACTTTGGTTCTATGATTGGGAATCTATATTTCCCAGGCCATGAGTAAGTGACCTAATGTGCTATGGGATCTTGAGCTTCCAGCCCTGTGTTGCTTGTTACGATGACTGTGAGGTCCTTGGATAAAATGTGGTATCCAAGTACAATGTGTTCCTATTACTATTTCAGGAGTATAAATAATAAAAGACTGTTACTAGCATTTAATAAGTATTCATCTATGCATGTTCTTGGGATATTCATGCATATTTTATGCATATTCAATGCATAGTCAATGCACTTTATAATCAATGGTGTCTAAACGTCTGGATCAGTGCCTACCTGCACACATAAAAATTAAACTTTCTTTCCATAATCTACCATAATAAACCCTCATGTATTTCTGTTACTTAAACACATCTTTGGTTTTCTCGTTCATTTTCTGCTCTGGTTTCTAGCCAACTGTCTTTGTAAAGACTTGGAAAGATGGAGAGAAATGTAGTCCCTAAAGAATTTTTGTTTCATCAACTTGCAGTGGTACTAAAAGCATTATCTTGAAGTCTGCAAATGATAGAATATATTAATATTTTGAAATTACAAGGTACTCTTTTTTTTTTTTATTTGAGACAGTCTTACTATGTCACCCTCGGTAGAGTGCTGTCGCATCACAGCTCACAGCAACCTCCCACTCCTGGGCTTAAGTGATTCTCTTGCCTCAGCCTCCCTTGTAGCTGAGACAACAGGCACCTGCCACAATGCCTGACTATTTTGTTTGTTTTAGCAGGCTCTGGCCGAGTTTGAACCCACCAGCCCTGGTGCATGTGGCCAGTGCCCTAACTGCTGAGCTATAGGCGCCAGGCCTGAAGATATTCTCTTAAAATTTATAATTAATGCAGCAAAAATCAGTTTATTTCAATCAATCAAGCAAAGCCAGTGATAAGCAACCCTCTGCCCCAGTAATGCCTGACTAGCTATGCAAAAAGCCTACGATCTAATTTCAGGACGACATATTAGCAACTTCTATGTTCCTGAAACACCAAGATATAAACATTTTGGTGGCTAAAAAGCAATGCCAATTTCCTTAATGTCCTTCTTTTATTTGACAAAGTTGTACAAATACACATTTTCCCCATGGGAATTTCAAAAAGCTATATTCATTTTGAAGAAGAAAATAATATCACCTTAAATGCTTTCCATTTTCTCCTTATGCCAAAAATAGTTGCTTATCACTGATACAAAACAAAATGTTAATATGGGTACTGATAACAAAGTCCCCAAAGATAAAATGGGATGAATCACAAACTTAATGTTTTTCACTTAAACTTGCCTTTGGCCTATTACTTAAATTGTTTTGAATGGATAATATGCTGGCTCAGCGCCCGTAGTTCAGTGGTTAGGGCACTGGCCACATACACTGAGGCAGGCAGGTTCAAACCCGGCCTGGGCCTGCTAAACAACAACAACTGCAACAAAAATATAGCCAGGCATGTGGTAGGTATCTGTAGTCCCAGCTACTTGGGAGGCTGAGACAAGAGAATCACTTGAGGCCAATAGTTTGAGGTTGCTCTGAGCTGTGACATCACAGCACTCTACAAAGAATGACAAACAAATCAAACAAAAACAAATAATAATAATAATAAATAGATAATATTCTTGAGCACTATTACAGTCCTGAAAATGAACCCAGTAGCTTTAACAACATGTAGGCCTCTTACTGCAGTGGAGAGGTGTCTTGGAAGGGTCACATTTGATTTACATGAGACATGAGATTACGGTATTATCCATACCAAAGACTATAGAAAAAAGTGTGTTATTTTAAAAACTGTATTTTAGTTTGTGCACATGTACATGATTCTTACGTTATTCTGATTCACAAGTCAGTCGGTTAGCTTTGCATCCTAACACATAAAACTAGCAATTCCTATGCAAATTGTCTGCTTAATTGAACTGTAAACTTTTTGAATACATTTGTTTCATGCATATTCTAATTCAAAGTAAAGTCAATGTGCTACTCAATTTGTCTTGGCTGCTTTTTTCTGTTGGTTTTTAATCAGGAGTTATTGCTTATGTGATTTTTAATAGCGATTTCATTTTTAATAGCTTATGTGATTTTCAAGGGAGTCATTCAACTATGTTGGTAAACAAGTAATAGGTGAGATCCTGAACGGATCTTTCAGCTTTATTTTCCTAAGGAGCCTCTGATTTCACTATTTCTAATGGGAAGAATGTTTGTAATGATTCCAAAGAGTTTTTATCCTGGCAAAATGTCCTGGGATAGTTTCTGAAAATAGAAAATTCCTAATTTTAATTTTTATTATTTACGATGATTCTGGCTCTGCAGTCCTTGGCCACAGCTTTCTCTTGTGAAATAGCTGGTGGTTTTGCAGGACTTCTGGGGTAGGAGACAGATGTTTGCAGCATCTGGAATCTGGAGATTTCCATGGCCATCCTGGCTTCCATCTGCTCCGTCTGTCTTCTCCCACCACAAGAGAAATCCCATCTCATCATTAACCCACACTGGGACAGCTAGGCAGAGAAAAAGACAACCCCCCCCCCCCAAATACCAGGCCACTTGAAATAAAAGATGCTTGCATTTTTATGTGGGTCTAGGAGTTTTAGGAGTGAGAAGCTAAATTGCTAATTTCATAACAAAGCAGTTATGGTACCAGAAGTGGCTAAGTGTCACAGGTAATGACCACGGGAGCCATCTGCAGATTATTAATAATAACGACAGTAAAACCAGCAACCAACATTTTAAGGGATTATTATGTGTAAGTACCAAGCATTTGACATGGATAATCTCACACAGTTTCTATGCATTTTTTTCCCAACAACAACCTTATGAAATAGGTGCAGTTATTATTGTTGGGACCTTATCGCTGCTGAGAGACCACCGCACACATGCAAGAACAAAGAGGTGCTTTATTTGTTTACAAGCATATGCCTGGGTCACTCTACCCTGCAGCGTTGCTGGGGGAAGGGCGACCCCCCAAGTGAAGCCAGGGGAGGTTTTTTAAGCGCACAGGGGAATTACATCGGGTGTTTTGTTGGGCGGGGTTGCTATTGGCTAAGCTGTTTTTGGTTAGGGACTTTTTTAGAGGGGGGCTGCTTGTTTGTTTCTGATAGACTGACTCCCTTTAGGCTGACTGACCTTGCCGATGAGAGCCAAGGGGTGGGGAGGGAAGCGGGTCCCCTTCAGACTGGCTGCCCAGAAATGCGGGGGAGGGAGCGTCTCCTTCTGATAAACTGATTCCACCTGAGTGACCTTGCCCAGGAGGGGGGGTTGGGGAGTGAGTTCCAAGATGGGGTTACATTAACCTCTTCCTTCCCAAATGAAGTTACATTAACCTCTTCACTATCCCCATCTTATAGCAAGAAAATTAGCTTTGAGAGATCTCATAGCAGTGGTTTGGTGCTGTCCTCCACCTGCAGGGGGGAGAGGTTGCTTATTGGGGTGGAAGATGTAGAGGACGCCAAGAGCCAGACGATCTCTGAGCAAGATGATTTACAGCTGGCGGTTGGACTCCCAGGCGATTGCTAACAGGAGCTCTTTATGGAGAAAGAGCCTGAGCCTTCAGCACGTAGTCATTGTTAATTACTCCCCTCACCTGTATTGCTCCCTCTCAATAAAAGGCTAGTGCCGAGGTTGCTCGGGGCTACCCTGCAAAGAAGGGCTAGCCCGCCTCCCTCAAGCCTGCGCTACTGATCTGCTTCTTGCCTGGTTCCTTCCTGAGGTGATCTGATATAGACCAGGGCCAGGGGGCCCAACAGGTCACGACAGGAGGAGGCAGAGGGAGGCAGAGGTTCCTAAATGGAGTCACAGTTGTAGCATCAGAGGTACAGTGAAAGTTGAAGATCTGGGAAATATTTTTAAAAATATTGGTGATTAATTGAATATAGAAGGTGAAGGAAAAAAAAGGAGAGCTAGCAATTATACTAAAATGTATCAGGGGCCCCCAAACCATCCCCAAGCTTGGTAATTTGCTAGTAAGACTCAAAGGACTCATCATGTACATAGCTGTATTCTTGGTTAAGGTTATAGCAAAAAAGATAACACAACAAAATCGTCAAAGGAAAAAGGGATATGGAGCAAAGACAGAGAACACCAGTGCAAGCTTCTGGGAGACCTCTCCCAGGGGATTTGCACAAGACAAGTTGGATTCCTCCAGCAACCAAGTCGTGGCAACATTGTCTACTAAGGAAATTCACTGTTAGAGCCAGTGCTCAGGATTTTCATTGGGAGCTGGTCAGATAAAGCACCTTCCGCCTAGCTTTTACCAAAATTCCAGACTTTCAGAAGGAAAACAGGCATTCAACACAAACCACGTTGTTTGTGTAAATAGTTTATACAGAGTGAACCATTCTTTTTCTTTCTTTTTTTTTCTTTTTGAGACAGACTTTCACTGTCACCCAGGCTAGAGTGCCATGGTGATATAGCCAGAGTGGACCATTCTTATCACTTAAGGAAAGTTTTATATCAGTGCAGGGGACTGTTTCCTAACCAAGTCCCCAGAAACTGGCCAAGAGCCG